CACAATAATCTAGTCACTCACCCAGCTTAGTAAAATTATCTTAACTCCTTAAAAATAACAATAAAATACTGTGAAGTACAGTAGGGCCCCACTTATACGGCAGGTTAGGTTCCAGGCTACCGCCATAAAGTGGAACACCTTTTTTCCACTTATAAATGCTAGTTAACAAGTTTACACTAACATATATTAAGTTAGCAATAGAACTAGGTATTAAAAACAATAAAAAAGTAAAATACACATATAGTACACTCATTACTTACCTTAAAATATTTGTAGTCTTAATGTAGGGTGAGATGAGTAGTATTTATTGTAAAAAATCAGGTGTGGTTGGTATAGTAGCCAGCCAGGCCACCCCCACCCCACCTCACCAGCGGTGGGGGAGGGGTGGTGAGAAGCGGAGTTATGTAAACAGATGAATGCATCTGGTTTTGGTTCATACACATGTGTATTATACCACAGTACAAACACTTTACATTGTGTACAAGTTGTCTCCATGTTGATACTGTAGAATTAATAAAGAGCAACACTCCCATTCTTGTGTCACCCCATTTTTAGAAGAAATGACGCTCTGAGTGAAGGCATACGAAAGGAATAATTTTCTACAGTTACCCCCAGTAATATTATTGTGTACACATTATCTTTGGTGTTGAACTATGATTATGTTAATTTATTCTACTGTAGGGTGTATTTATCATGTTTATATGTTACATAGCATGTTTATTATATAATTTTGAAAAAATGTCGTAGATGGATTAATGAAAATGGGTATATTAACGTAATATACGACATTTAATCAATCAGTCAATCAATCAATCCAATCAATCAAGTTTATTCTCTATAAGGATTACAATGCAGGGTTTACAGATTTTGGATATTGTGTGGTTTACATGTTTTAAAATTCTAATTACAGAGGGGGCCACTAGGACACCTAGCATGACTAGGCATATCGGGCAGAATTAGATTAATTCTTAACTTTAAATTATTACAGGTTATGGTATTAAGGCTAAGTGACTACATTATAGTTTGTGAGTTTAGCAATGTGAATGCTTTTGTTTTGGCACAATACGTAGTGTCTATATTGGAGTATCATAGGCAAACTTATGACTAGTTAGGATTCATTATTTTAAGATTAAGATTCATATTTCTGTGTTTATAGTCAAAGGGTGAGTGAGTGTAAGTGTGAACCACCAGAGGGTTTTCATGTAGCAAGTTGACGGGGTGTATCAGGAAGATAAGATGTTTTCTAACTGTAGTTTTGAAAGTAATGAATGTGTCTGCAGTTCTAGAGTTTTCAGGTAGGGTGTTCCAGATTTTAGGCCCTTTGACACACGTTGAATTATTGTAAAGGTTTAGTCAGACACGGGGAATGTCATAGAGATGTTTGTGTCTGGTGTTATGCCTGTGGATCCTGTCACAACTATCAAGAAAGCATTTTAGGTCAAGGTTAATATTGGAATTTAAGGTCCTGTAGATATAGATTGCACAGTAGTAAGTGTGGATGTTCTGAACAGGGAGTAAGTTTAGATCTATGAAGAGTGGGGGGGTGTGTTGCCTGGGATGGGATTTAGTGATTATTCTTACTGCACTTTTTGTGGGTTAATATTGGGTTTTAGGTGTGTTGCTCAGTTGATCCCCAAGCAAAAATAGAAAAAGGGTAGGAAAGGATAAATATGAAGGTAAGTGTGAAAGGGGCAGTTTGCGGCCATAAACATCAGAGAGGATCCCCGCCGTTTTGTATTTTTTTTTTTATGTTTGGTTTGGGGGTCAAATTAGGTTGTTGTCAGGTAAGACCGGGAATTTTCCCTATTATTCTGGCAATTAGAGTTTTGTCATTAATGTTAAGTTGCTCAACACCTCCTCTGCTACCAAACATAATGAGTAATTTGGCATGTTGGGTGTAAGTTTTTTGGTTTCACCCAAAGTCGAATTTTGAGGGAGCTCCTGTTGACAAAGGTGTTTAGGGGGGCAAATTAGGGTGGAGATGACTAAATCGTGTCATCAGCAAAGAGAATGGGGGTTCAGGGGTTGGGATATGTTTTTTAAGATCATTTATAATGAGGGAAAAGAGGGACCAAGGACACCCCCGTGGCCCCATATCAAGTGGCTGTGTTGATAAGGCTGTCTTTAATGGCGACATACGGGAAAGAGTAAGGTATATGAGGATAACAAAAGATTGGGTGATGAAAGATTGAATATCAGATTGGAGGGAGAGAGTATGGAGGAGGTGAACTATTCAGATATTTGGGAGTTGACGTGTCAGCGGATGGGTCTATGAAAGATGAGGTGAATCATAGAATTGATGAGGGAAAAAGTGAGTGGTGCACTTAGGAGTCTGGGAACAAGAACTTTGTCTGGAGGCAAAGGGGGGAATGTATGAGAGATAGTTTTACCAACGCTCTTATATGGGTGTGAAGCGTGGGTGATGAATGTTGCGCGAGGAGAAGGCTGGAGGCAGTGGAGATGTCATGTCTGAGGGCAATTGTGTGGTGTGAATAAAATGCAGAGAAATTCGTAGTTTGGAAGTTAGGAGGAGGTGCGGGATTACCAAACTGTTGCCAGAGGGCTGAGGAAGGTTGTTGAGGTGGTTGGGACATGTAGAGAGAATGGACGAAACAGAATGATTTTCAAGAGTGTATCAGTCTGAGTGGAAGGAAGGCGGGGTAGGGGTCGCCTGGGAAGGGTTGGAGGGAGGGGTAAAGAGGTTTTGTGTGCGAGGGGCTTGGACTTCCAGCAGGAAATGCTGAGCGTGTTTGATAGGAGTGAATGGAGACAAATGGTTTTTAATACTTGACGTGCTGTTTGGAGTGTGAGCAAAGTAACATTTATGAAGGGATTCAGGGAAACCGGCAGGCCGGACTTGAGTCCTGGAGATGGGAAGTACAGTGCCTGCACTCTGAAGGAGGGGTGTTAATGTTGCAGTTTAAAAACTGTAGTGTAAAGCACCCTTCTGGCAAGACAGTGATGGAGTGAATGATGGTGAAAGTTTTTCTTTTTCGGGCCACCCTGCCTTGGTGGGAATCGGCCGGTGTGATAATAATAATACTGATACCTATTAGTTGTTTACATCTGTAGGGTCACCACCTTTATGTATTGGTGTAACCCATGCTGTCTTAAGTAGTGTCAGGAAAGTGCTAGTTTCTAGTGACTTGTTAAAAAGTAATGTAATAGCACGTGAAAGGACATGGGCCACTCGCTTGTACAATAATGGTGGGACGTAAGACAGATTCCCTGAGTTATTTTTGAGTGACTTTATAATCGCGGTGACTTCCGTGGGGTCAGTTGGTACAAGATAGAAGGAATTTGGGAAATTCCCATCTAGGTAGTCCCCGGCACGGGCGTTGGTACGTGGGATTTTACTGGCGAGTTTAGATCCTATGTTTGAGAAGAAGTCGTTTATCTTGTTAGCTGTATCAGTGGGATGTAGTTGTGTTTCATTAGTTTTAGTTAGGACAATATTCTTGTTTTTTTTTTTTTTTCAGTTTGTGGGTCCCCAGAATCTGGGAAAGTGTTTTCCAGGTCTTTTTTATATCTCCTCTTGTGTCAGTGAATCTGCTGGAGTAGTACAGTTGTTTGGTTTTCTTTATTAATTTGGTGAGAACTGATGAATATTGTTTATGAATATCTTTGTGTATTAAGCCCTGTCTATAATATTGCTTTTCATATTGGGGTTTCTTATCAATGGATTTCAGAATGCTGCTGGTTAGCCATGGGCAACCGAGCCATTTATTCATGATCTGTTTCGTTTTTATAGGACAATGTTTGTTGTATAGTCTAAGTATTTTGTTAAGAAAAATGTCTGTCCAATCGTCAATACCATTGGCATAAGCCGGGTCACCATATGGAGAAGACCCGGGCCGGAAGTACCGGCGAATCTCTAATGAATGAATGAATGAATGACCATTGGCATTGGAGAATTCTGTAGGCCAGTCAACAGTCTCTAGGTCTGCTGTGAAATTCCTTATTGAGGCCTCTTCATGGAGTCTAAATGAAACTTTGTTGTATTCGAGTGGTGGCTTACTAATGTTTGTTAAGAGGAAGGTTGGGTAGTGGTCTGTAGTGCTGTCTGTGATTATTCCTGATTTAAGGGGGGCTAGTATATTGATCCATATGTGGTCTATTATGGTTGCACTTGTCTCAGTCAGCCTGGTTGGTTTAGTTATTGTCGGTATGAGAAGTGTGTTGTTCATATTGTTGATGAAATTAGTTACAGGCTGATCATCTGGTAGGCCAAGGTTGATACTGAAGTCTCCAGCTAAGAGAAGGTGGTGTTTGTTCATTTGTCTGTTTGTTATTAGTCCCTTTAGATTCTCACTGAAATTTGGGATGTTTGTGTGGGATATCCGGTAAATGGCACCGATTGTTATAGGCGTCTTAAGGTTTTTTACAGTAAAATTAGCAAAAATGTATTCCCCATATTCATCACTAAAGCAAGTGATGCTAATACAAGATAGTTGGTTAGAGTAATAGATTGCAATACCACCCCCAACTTGGTATGGTCTGCAGTTGTGGATTGCTATGTATCCTGGTAGTGGGTAGATATCTGTGTGCCACCAAGTGAGTATTATTATTATCATCATCATTATTAATATGGCATTCTCGAGACATAAGACACTCTTAGCAATTTTAATGTGTAGTACCTGCACACCAGCACAGTATGTAAGTTTACTTAGGTACAGGTACACATAAGTATAATGATCAGATTATATATAAAATATGAAATCATTTTAAAACACTTGAAATTTTGGAAAGTTTCCAAACATAATGGAGAGATGAGGAGCTCACGGAGAATGTAAACAAACTGGGTGGGGCGCGGTGACTGTATTATAAAGTCAAGTGGGGGGAGCCATATAACGAGTTTTGATCATAATTTGAAATGTCCGTATTAGCGGAACTCTGTAAAGCAAAACGCCCTACTTTATTAGTGAAGAGGGAGGTACATATTACCTTTCCTTGAAATATAAAGTTTTGTTAAGTTAATGTACCATTGATATTCATTTCAGATTATTGATAAAGAAAAGGAAAACCAAACTCATGGAAAAATCTGCAGTGGAGAAGACAAAGTCAGTGAATACAAAAGTAAAAAGTGTAATAGAAATGACAGTATTAGGAAATACAATGAGAAAATTAAAGAGAGCAAGCCTGTAATTGATAAGAAAAGGAAACAAGCTGAGAAAACAAAGACAGAGAAAAAGATGGATATCTGGTTTGATAATATTGATCCAATACTTCTTGGAGAACCAGAGGAAGAGAGTGAAATGGAAAATTGCCAAAGAAAAGCTAACGAGAAGATGGATGATGTTGAAACAGCCACGGCTCTTGTGAAAACTAAATGTTTTGAAGGGTATGTTATATATTTTGCTGTTACAGATTTTATGGTGCTTTATAATTAATACTGTATGACTGGTTGAGAGATTGGTATTTTTGCTTCATGAAATTTGATTCTTTCTTCGTATATGCATCATGTTACATTACAGTCTTTGCTTTTTGTTGATTGTTTTTTTTTTTTTTTTTTTTTGGTGTTCACTTTGTTTTTTATTTTAATTTCATATATTTTTTCTTCAGTATTACAAAAGCAGTTGCTATGGACTGTGAGATGGTGGGCGTTGGAATGAATGGTCAGGAGTCCATATTAGCAAGGGTAACAATTGTCAACCACTTTGGTAAAGTGCTATATGACAAATTTGTCAAACCCACAGAAGAGGTTGTAGATTTCCGAACAAAGGTATCTGGAATACAGCTGTCTGATTTAGAAGGAGGTTAGTTATATTTTCTCTCTCTCCTTAAAGTCTACCTTTGGCTTAATGATTGTCATCATAGTGTGTCCTATCATGAGATGTATATTTCAGGGAATATATTGATTTGTTTTAATAGTAAAAACCCAGATTCTTCAAGCCCTTGCATGTTTGGTATCATTTTAATCTAAATATACCTTGTATTAGGATGAATTATTGATATTTCCTTAAACCAATTGATTAGCAGAATATTTTGTGTTGAACTTTAAATAAATTCTTCCGGTTTCACTTTTTAACCCGTGAGGAGGGGTTGTTGAGGTGGTTTGGTCATTTAAAGAGGATGGAGCAAAGTAGGATGACTTGGAGGGTGTATAAATCTGTAGTTGAGCAGAGGCAGGATGGGGGTTGTCCTAGGAAAGGATGGAGGGAGGGGATAAAGGAGGTTTTGTGTGCAAGGGGCTTGGACATACACCAGGCATGTGTGAGTGTGTTACATAGGATTAAGTGGAGACACATGGTTTTTGGGACCTGATGAGCTGTTGGAGTGTGAGCAAGGTAATATTTTGTGAAAGGATTCAGGGAAACCGGTTAGCCGGACTGGAGTCCTGGAGGTGGGAAGTACAGTGCCTGCTGTTTGGAGGGACATCTATACTGTCATATCTGCACACCTCTGCCAAGACAATAATAGTGTGAATGATGGTGAAAGCATTTCTTTTTTCGGTCACCCTGCCTTGGTGGGAGATAGCCAGCGTGTTAAAAAAAAAATAATAATTGAAGTCAGTATTGGCAAGTGTATATGGAAATTTGATATGCTGTTGGAATGTGAGCACGATAATCTCTGAAGGGAAATTAGAAACTGAATTTGAGTCTTTTGAGTTAAAAAGTGCCATGTTTGTATTTTGAAGGTTGATTGTGGATGTTATAGTTTGGTTGGTTTTTCTCTTCATTGTGTATTCTGTGTTAAGGATTAGTATTATGATGCAAATTATATAATTTTTTATCTTAGAGAATATACATTTTACTAGTGTGCAATTATTTTCAGGTGTTGAGTTTTCAACAGTGCAAAAGGAGGTGTCTGAATTGCTTGCAGGACGAATATTGGTGGGCCATGCTGTGAGAAATGACCTGAAGGTCCTTTTTCTCTCTCATCCATGGTCAGACATTAGAGATACATCAAGGTATGCTGCTTACAGTTAACTAGTATTCTAGGTGACCTCTCAAGAGGGAGCAGACACCATGATACAGTACTTTACTGACCCTTAAAGCAGCACTTACTGACCCATAAAACAGGCACTTTACTTTCTCAGCATCCAAAATCCACTTGTATTTAGCTGGTTTCCCTAAATTCCTTCATAGATTATTGCTTGTCCAGCAAGCAGCCACACTAGAAATGCATCAAGGTAGCTGTGGATGCAAAAAGAGAACCTTTTAGTTTGTTCTGCACCACACATGACCTCATGAGATTTTCCTGTGTAAGTCTTGTATGTTTCTTTTCCAGAATGCTAATTGCTGTCATTCACCATTCTCTCCATATGTACAAACTATCATTTAGCATTTTTCTTTAACCCTCTCTACCACCACATCTCATTTGGTTGAAGACATGTGAGAAAACACTGCAGAAAACTTTTCTATCTGGAGTGAAAAAGGCCCCAGGACTAAAATGTTTCCCAAATAAAATGTCCTGAGTGTTTGCTGATGTTTCTCTAACCATATGAAATTCAGTAGTAGTAGAGAGGGCCAAATGAAAAAAAAAAAAAGCATTGCCTTGTTTGCCATTTCAAGTTTGCTAATATTGTATAACAAACATTTATTATGACCATGAAGTAGCTGCTTCATTAATGTTGTGGTAACCAGATTTACTTGGGTAATATATATTTTCACTTTTTTATTTACACTGCTATATGTAATAAATTGTACCTCAGCAATTATAGTGAACGGTGAAGAAGATATGAGAGAGAGGAGGGTGCTGAGAAGAAAGGAAGAGATGGTTGTTTGTAGAAGGATGGAAGGGAAGAAGAGGAGGAGGAGGAGGAGGAGGAGGAGGAGGAGAAAGAAGAGTAGAGATATTAAAAGGAGGACATGGGAGAAGGAATACATGAGGGAAAAAAAGGGAAAGGAGAATAAAAGGGAGGAGACAGAGAAAAATGAGATGAGAAGGAGAAGAGGAAAATAGGAATGAGAGAATGAGGAAAAGGACGATAGAATATCATGAATAGGAAGAAAAGTTGATGACGAGAAGTGGAGGAGTAGAAAACAAAAAGAGATGATGATTATATAAGAGGAGGAGGATAATCGGAGAAAGACAAAGGAACAGATGATGATGAGTAGGATAGCTATAGGAAGAAATGAAGGAAACTTATTTGAATTTTATTTTGTCTTTTTATAGATACAAGGGTTTTCGTCGGCTGTTTGGTGGAGCGATTCCAAGTCTGAAGAAGCTGACACAAAAAATTATGGGTGTTCAAATCCAGAGTGGCGAGCACAATTCGGTAAGCTTTTTTTTGTTTCTTATTTTGTGATGTTATTAATTCTTTCCAAGTTAGATAGACATATTCTTTATAAGTAAATAAAACTGGTTTGTGTATCTTTTGCAGTCCACTGTATATGTATGAATAAACATTTTTCTTTGCATAAAAAATCATATGAACATAAAATTTTTTTTTTTATTTTGCTAGGTATTCTCTAAAATATATAATTTTGTATTTGAAGGTTTACTGAACGTAGGAATTTAAAGGTTTTCAGTTTCAGTAAATTTCATAGACAATGTACTGTAGACTGTTTTATACCTAATCATAATAATCTCTGTCTTTGCAGATTCAAGATGCACAAGCTGCTATGCGCCTGTACACACTACATCGAAGAGAATGGGAAAAGCTAAAATCAAAGAAAAAAAGAAAGTTATCTGCAAAAAAGAAGAAAGTCTCCACCACTGTGGCAGAGATTGAGTCTGAGACAGAGTCCCAGTGATAGTGAAGAACCATTGGCCATACATGATCATTCTACACTTTTATATTATGCTGCAGAATTTATTTTCCCTGGAACATCATCAGGAAATCAGGTTACACTTAACCTTATTTACTTTTGTTTGTATAAATAGTGTAGCACTGTCATGCCTGATGAAAGTGTATTTGTTGGGTGACTTAGTAGTTAAGGTAATTGAAAAGTAGTCATTTGTAACAGCAGTGTAAGAGAGATTCCATCAATTATTCAACACTGAGGAAAGGGTGAGCTGGATTTTATGGTATGACTGTATCTTTTTTTTTTTTTTTATAGTCCCTATTGCTGTATAGCCCTTGTGGCTTAGCGCTTCTTTTTGATTATAATAATAATATAGTCCCTATTGTTTCATTCCTTTTCCACTGCTATTTTAGACTATGTACAAAAAAAAAAGTTGCCAGATAATACTGGATACCAAAATGATCAATTGCTGTAAAATTAATGATCACAAATAACCTGCACTTACAAAGCTAATGACAATGTTTTGGTTTGTCCTGGACCTTTTATCAAGTCACAACTGAGAAAAAGCAGACATCCAAGAAACATGATAGGATGGAATGGTGGTTAATAGTAACAGTAGTAGTAGTTGGTCTGTATAACCCTTGTGGGTTTAGCACATAGTTTTGAATGTAATAATAAAGTAATAGTAAGTGCAGGTTATCTCTTCATCATGATATTGTGACTTTTTATTCTTATTGTGAATCTACTTTATAAAGAGCTTGCATATTTCAGCATGCAACCCACAGTCACCATAATCTTATTTATTTATTTCCTTTGTGTTATGGAATCCAGACAATATGGACTTTAACAAAAGGTGCTGTGAATGAAGGAAGTGCTTGATTCATATTCGGGACGGTTCTCAACAAACTATTTACTTCCCTCAATCTGACTCCCTTTTCTGCTTGCTGTTTGTTTCTTTGTCTCTTCCACCTTAGGAGGTATGGATGATTCAAATTTGTTTTGCTTTCCCTCTCTTTCCGAAGTTTTGTATTTTCTTCTGTGGACATGTTCTCCCTATTTTCTGAGGATTTTCAGTTGCATTTACATGTTACTGCTGTGTACACTATGGCTTTACACCCTCTGTTGTAGGATACAAGTTTTTCTGGAAGATGTGATAAAAGGACTTTTACCTGATATTAATATAGCCTCTCCTCACTTAGCGACGTACTTGTTTACTGATGCCTCGGACTTATGACAGGCTCTCTGACCAGTATGCATACCTGAATAATGTATATTAGAGTTCATTTCCTCTATTCTGTTTATTACAATATATAGTAGTACACTGCTCTATAAACATTTAAGAATATACCAGAAATGTTATAAATGGTGCAAAGGTGACATTAAAACAATATCAAAGATGGTAAACACAAACTCACTACCATTATAGTATACTCCTCACTTAGTGATGAATTTATTTACCGACATGGTCTTAGGAACGGAACTCTGTCGTTAAGTGAGGAGAGGCTGTATATTAACCCTTAAACTGTCCAGGCAGATCTACATTCACATGCGTAGGGCTCCAAAAGTAGATCTACGTTTTTTTTTACACATTTTCAAACATAACAAAAAAAAACATAGATCAAAGTTTTTTACACGTTTTCAAATGTAAAAAAGAAAAAAAAAGATCTACTTTTTTTACATACTTTCAAATGTTGAAAAAAACGTAGATCTACGTCTGGACAGTTTAAGGATTAAAGGCATAATTATAAGCACTTCTTTCAGCTGTTATCCACATTGTTTCTCTTCCCATTGTAGTCTCTGATTCATTGTGCATTACATGGTCTTCTAAACTTTGACTCCTCACACCCCATTGTTCTCTCCATTCAACACTGGCTATGTGGCATCTTCAACAAGCTTAGACATTTTCTCTTGCTGGGTCTCTGGTCATTTTGGTGTTCAGGGTAATGAAATTGCAGACTCCTCTGCACATTATATGGTTCAGGTCCTATCACTCTCTTAAGGGGATGAGCAATTTCAGACTTGATTACGGTTTTGTTCTGAAGTATTCAGAATCACTGGCAATGTCATTAATTTAACCCTTACAGGGTCCCCAGGCCCTCTCCCAGACTTGTCCTCAGGGTTGCCCAAATTTCAAAAAAAAAAAAAAAAAAAAAAATTCTTATGAAAAGATAGAGAATCTTTTCCCGATCACAATAACACCAAAAGTATGAAATTTGATGGAAAACTTACAGAATTATGCTCTCGCAAAGTTAGTGGTCTCGACGATGCTTACACATCGGCGATTTTGCCCATTTTGAGCCCTATTTTCGGCCAATTCCAGCATACTAGTCGACAAAAATCATAACTATTTTGCTAGAACTCCATTTTCTCTATTGAATGAGTACAAGAAACCACCCATTTACCAATTTCAACTATCCAGTACAGTGGTCAGAATTTAGCAATTTTGCCAATTTCACACAAATTTCAAAAGATGCCAATTTCCAAATAGGGTCCAGAATAAACAAGAAAGACATTCCTGGCACTAAAATAACATTTCCTCTGTTCATTAGTCACGTCCCCACGCCCCTCTTACATTCTTTTGCTTTCCACTTTGAATTTTTATTCTCGCAAAAAAATAGAAGATTTACTGTTATACAGACTACTGCATTAGTGTAAAAATGGTATAAATAATATAGGCGCACTTGTGAAAGAATATTAGACTCACCAGTTGACGTGTATTGGACGCTTAGCATGATTTGTTTACTTTTGAACTTTGGTAAAAATCGAACATTTCTGCTACTTTGAGCTCAATTTCAAGGTACATTTCATTGTAAAATCATTCAAAATCATCTCAGTTTCTGTAATATGTCTTCTGTTCTATAAAATGAGACCAGGAAAACTAGAATACAACAATAAATACCATATGAAAATACAGTGCAAAGTCGTTGTTTTAATCCAAAAACACGGTCAAAGTTTTTTTTTCTCATTACGCACTGTGTGCTGCAGGATTTTTTTTTATACTGCGCATACTGACCACATAGACCCATTCTTTCATATGTAGGCCTACCAGCTTTCTCTCACTAGATTTGAGGGCGCTAGAATTTAGGCGTACTAGTACGTCAAAAACCCTGGTGCGTAAGCCGTACTAGTACGGCCGAAACCCTGAAAGGGTTAAGGTAAAGAATACCAAGTTGTTATTGATCAAACTACAGTTTATTAAATTATCCAAGGCTCGGTGGGAGACGGCCGACTTGTTGAAAAAAAAAAAATAAAATAAAACTGACAGATAGTAAATAGACCCTTGATGGAGTGAAGGCTTTTTTTTTTTTTTTTTTTGGTACTTTATCAAGTAAACAAAACATTGAGGAAAAACTGCAGTTTATACTGGGCATTCAGGGTGGGTGGTCAGATGTAACTTTTTAAATAATGGGTATTTTTATTACAATATAAGGGAAAATTTTGCATATGCAGTCTAATTAGGTGTCAATATTGACTTAACCCTTCAGGGTCCCCCCGTAATCTACGGTTTTATGGGATGCCCAAAACCGAGATCTCCCATGACTCAGCTCACTCTGATAAACTGTGGGGTAATTTGGGGCCTAGTAGAGAAAAAACATCTATGTGGTATGTGTGACCACATAAAACGACCCTGCAGCAACGTGTAAATGAAAAAAAAAAAACTGAAATCATGATTTTTTGATTAAAACAGCAACTTTGCGTGTTTTTTGTTGTTTTTTATAGTTGATTTGCGATTTTTGGTCTCTTTTGATAGAAGGAAGACATTTACAGAAATAGAGATATTTTGATTGGTTTTTTGCCTAAAAGGGCTTGAAATGAGCTCAAAGTAGCGAAAAGTTAAATTTTTGCCGATTTTAAAGAGTAAAAAAAACGACCTCAAGCAATAATCATGGTGGGTCAAATTACATTCAAAAATTTGGGTGATGATTTTTAAACAATTATTACAGTATTGCTAGCAGAAAAATTTATATTTTTGGTGTGAAAAAAAAATTTCTTTATGTAAAAAAAAATAAAAATGGAATTTATTTGTAAAGCCCAAACATACTAATGAAAAGGGAAATGTTAGTTTAGTGCCGGGGAATGCCTACTTTGTTTATTCTGGCCCCTTTTTTTGAAATTGGAATATTTTGAACTTTGTTTTAAAATTGGCCAAATTAAAAAATTTTCCCGATCACTTATTTTGTAGTTGAAACAGTTGACTGGGGATTTCTTTTGCTCAATCGATAGAATAGAAATAATACTTTTAAATAGCTAAGAATTTGGGTTTATTGGAATAATGTAAATTTGGCTAAAAAGGGAGCAAAGTCGGCAAAATCGCCGTTCGTAAATATCGCTGACCATCAAAATTGCGAGATAATTTGTCAATTTTCACCAATTTCTTTTTTTTGTTTTTTTTACCTTCACAAAAAGATCTCTTACGATTTCATAAGAAAATTAACATTTTTTTTTGAAAATTTGGTACATGGTGCGTGACTCCGATATTAGGGCTTGGACACCTTGAAGGGTAAGGGCTGTTCTTGCTCTTTTCTAAGTTTGATTTAATGGCCACTCAGATAATCCCTCCTATTAGTCCATTATATTGAAGGTTTACTGTACAAGTAGTTGCACTGCAAGAGGCCTACTGGCCCACGCTAACCTTCCTTTGTTCCCTCTTAGAACAAAGAAAACTTAGCATGAACCAGTAGGTCGTTTATACATACAAACTAGTCCTACTGACATCCAACCCTTCTCACTAATATACCGTATTTGTCAAGCCCATTTTTAAAGCTACACCTGACCACACACCCTGGATGCCCAGTATAAGTTTTAATTTTTTTCGAAGCCCACTTGTGGGTGGAATGCTGTAAAAAGAAAAAGACTCCATTGTCTACCTGCACTGAGTAGTTTAAACTAACGTTTTCATCTCTGTTGAGTTCAGGAAATGATTCTTACACAACTTATTGGCCATGCACCCCTCAAGGAAGGTGCCTTGATTTTAATGAGGGAGTCTTGATCCAAGAAACTAGACTTATTCTTCCCTTGGATCAAACCTGAATGCCTCCCAGGTATTCAGGCTTTTAATGATTCCCGGTAGTTAAAAACTTGATTACACAAGACTCAAATAGCTATTGTGTGGAGAGGTGCCAGTGCCTCTAATTTGTCAGGTCTTTGTGACAGTTCAACATCCTCTTTGATAAATGATACAAAGAATCAAATGATGTAGAATTTATTTCCTGTCTTTTTCAGTACCTGGATGCCCTCACTTTGCCTACTCTCCTTTTTGGAAAACCCTACATTTGGTGTTGAAAGGCAAAGCACATTTATTTGTGCTTTTAGAGTGAAAGTGACTTGTACCCACTTTCAGTACTTGTTAGCTTGTTCACCTTTTACACTAATTCCTTATCTATGAAGCACTGCAAAACTGATTGCATTATCTGTATGGATTTGTCACATTTTGCAAATTTAAAAGTTAACCTGCTCTGCTTAGTCATGTTAAGCACCAGTCTGACTGCTAATTATGCAAGTATACTACAGTCCAGTATACACAAAAGGATATACTGGACTATAGTAGACCCAATGCTTTACCTACATTCAAAGCAAAACTAAAAATTAAAACAATCTTGATCGTGGAAAATATGTAACACATTTGTTAGTCCCTCGTACATTTTATGTTTGATTAAGCATTATTATGACATTTGTTTCCATTAATTCCGTACAGTACAACATTTATGCCTTCCATACTTGAGCATAAATGTTCATACCCTCAAGACTGTCAATCATCTTAATGGAAGGGAAAAAGTAGAATTTAAACATAAGTACAATTTATTAATTTACATTTTATACATATATGTCTTTCACTTGGAAGATCTAAACTAATTGGAAATACATACATGAATAACATGCTTAATTTAGCATTAAATTTTTACCTATAGAAGATCAAACATTTCTTCATACTACATTATCTGAACTTGAAAGAAGTACATTTTCATACTGCTAAAGCTTGTTAATGTACACTGTAGAGAAGAATCAAGTCTAGTTAGTGTAGTTATCAATCCACAAGCACTTTCCTAATGTGTGACATCTCAGTTTGATATGTGAACTTGTTAAAATATTAGAATTAACAAGATTTAGCTTTCATTTACATAGCTGGTACAAACATATGACAACATTGTATAAGAGCACATGAATATTTTTAACGATACCAGTGTACACAAAGATGTTAGCTCATTTGTGATGAGCCATACTAAATGTTATTCTTTCCTGTCTTTGGATGTCATGAACAAATTGTACATTTTAATTTCAAACAAAATTGGCATGAAATAAATGGGATTTACATAAATTATATGTAATTTTAATCCCATTATTTATGCAGTGCAGGAAATTCAGAAGGAAAAATATTGCTTGTAAAGTATAACACTTATACCACAAAGAATCCAGATTTTGCCCTTTACAACGGCATACTTGACCTTTTACTTTAACACTAAACAAAGGGACAGCTCTTCAAATGATAATGGGATTCACAAAAAGTGTGTACAAGTCCCTTATTTGTCATACTGTACATATTTCAGTGTTAGTGGGTCCTCAGTTGTCACTGATTTAAAAAGGGTCAGGGACCTGAGTAAAAATTTAGTAAACTATTTTGATATGCAACTTTCATACTTTTAAGAAATATGAGGGATATGTCATACAGTATGATATATTGAGGTGTACACTGTAGTAAGGACTATCAACCATTATAGACCCTGTACATATGCCAGCAACATCTAGAGTACATCAACATTTGGATATGACTGCATACTATATGGGAAAGTGAATTCCACATATGTATAAAACTATCAGCTGTCACAACCTCCTTATGGGCTACTCTAAACCACAGCTACTGAGGTGCCAGACCCATCATATACAGTATCTAAGAGTCTAAAATTAAATTGAGAAAGTTTTGTTACACAAACCTAGTGGATTTCTAGCTCAGCCCAACAGTGGTAACAAGGTCTCAAGGAAATTATTTAAATTTTTGTATTTTAATGCATTCTAAAGCAGCGCTGTATGACCTTGTGGGTTTAGCACTTAGTTTTGATTATAATAATAATGCATTCTAAATGTAATTTAAATATACAGTTTAAGAAAAATAAAAATTCCTTTGATTCTTTGTAATTTTACTTGTATGAAAGCAACCTAACATCTAGCATCTAATTGTTACTAAGTGAATAGATGAACTGGTGGACGTATTTCCTTCTAGAATGTAAATAATACAAGGGCTAATGGTCCAGAATCTTGTCTAACCTGTTTATCTCCAATTTTTGGGTTATTTGCAAACTATTCCACTCACTCTGTGACTTGTTTCGAATAAGACTACATTTCAACGAGTTTCCATTATAAATATCCAACCACAGGTAAAAAAAAAAAAAAAAAAAAAATTTGTTAATGTGGTAGAATTACCAACTATGTTAGGTAAAAGGACAAGTGCAACTAATGTGTCATTTTATTGTCACATTAGCGACAATAAAACGTTTCGCTCTCCAGGAGCGAAACATTGCCACAAACGGCTTGATGAAGCTCCTAGAGAGCGAAACTGCCACAATAAAATGTCACATTAGTTGCACTCGCGTCCTTTTACCTAAAAAATTATGGTGTAACCACACAAGATTGTCAAAATCAGACTTGATAACTGGTGGCAACTTGCTATCTTAACGAAGTTTGCAGAATTCTGTATGGGACAAGATGTCTATTTTACTCTTAAAATGTCTTGACCATTGTGGGCAGAGTCAAAAATTGCAAAACATTTTAACAATTTAAATGCTCTATTTTGTATATAGTAAATTCACTCCATCACAGTTACATATATGGTATAGCCAATGATGGTCTACGGTACTGTAATTTCCATCATTGTATTTCACTTTCATCAAATGATTATATTTTGTATCATACACATTAATATAGATACTGTGTAGGCTACACTAACAATTGTTTTAGTTCATGCTACATATTATAATATACTATGTATATCCAAG